GGACTAATTTCGGTTTTTATACAAGTAAAGATTTAATAGTAAAAAAAAAAAAAAACAAAGGTCTCAAATTTCTAGATATTTTAGGTGTACATTCAAGGATATGGCTGCTCCTGGAACATCAAGTATTCCTGCTCCAACTGCAGGAAATGCTGAGAAATTAGAAATTGCTAAGAGATTATTTCTTTAGAATACATTTTAGAAGTAGTGTTACATTAAGGCATTTGACTTACACTTTTAAATATCTCTTTAGAAAACGTTCTGTTTATAATGATCTATTTTTGTATGCCTTGTATTATAATTTGTATCAAATATATTTTTATATGCATGGTATAGATGAGAGATGCAAATCTAGTTAGATAAAGCAACAAATTACATAATTAAATAACACATTGACATTATTTTAAGTGTATTTTTAAAAAAACACTGTGCTGAATTCCTCTCAAGTCAGCATCTAAACTAATTCTTGAAAAAGATCCAGAAAACAAAGGTGTCTCCCGACCCATGCTGCCGGCCGCGAGAATGCTGGTGCCCTTGAGTACCACACGCAGGCGAACGGGACAAACAAGGAGACTGCGCTGCCCTCAGCGCCTGGCAAAGATCCGCGCTAAGCACTAGCGACAGCTACACCGGCGGCGGCCATCCCAGCGCGGCCAAACCACCAAAAAAGCAGTTGTGGATTCTGATAAGAAGAAAGGTGAGCTAACGGAGAATGACCAGGATGCCATGGAGTGTTCTTCAGAGGAGGAAGAAGTTGATCTTCAGACAGCTCTTACAGGGTATCAAACAAAACAGCGAAAGCTTCTAGAACCAGTTGATCATGGAAAAATTGAATATGAGCGATTTAGGAAAAACTTCTATGTCGAAGTTCCAGAACTAGCAAAAATGTCTCAAGAAGAGGTAAATGTGTTTCGATTGGAAATGGAGGGCATTACAGTTAAAGGAAAAGGTTGTCCCAAACCAATTAAATCCTGGGTCCAGTGTGGAATTTCCATGAAGATCTTAAATTCCCTCAAAAAGCATGGCTATGAAAAGCCCACGCCCATCCAAACCCAAGCTATTCCTGGTATAATGTCTGGACGAGATTTGATTGGCATTGCCAAAACAGGAAGTGGAAAGACCATTGCTTTTCTGTTGCCCATGTTTAGACACATCATGGGTCAGAGGTCATTAGAAGAAGGAGAGGGGCCAGTAGCTGTCATCATGACTCCAACTGGAGAACTGGCTTTACAGATTACTAAAGAGTGTAAGAAGTTTTCCAAGACTTTGGGACTTAGAGTGGTCTGTGTTTATGGAGGAACAGGAATCAGTGAACAGATTGCTGAGCTGAAAAGAGGTGCTGAAATTATTGTTTGCACACCTGGTCGAGTGATTGACATGTTAGCAGCTAACAGTGGTCGGGTCACAAATCTTCGAAGACTGACATATGTTGTTTTAGATGAAGCAGACAGAATGTTTGACATGGGTTTTGAACCCCAGGTCATGCGATTCGTGGATAATGTTCGTCCTGATCGACAGACGGTTATGTTTTCAGCTACTTTCCCCGGAGCTATGGAGGCTTTGGCTAGCAGGATCCTGAGTAAACCTATTGAAGTACAAGTTGGAGGCACGAGTGTGGTTTGCTCGGATGTGGAGCAACAAGTGATTATTGTGATTGAAGAAGAAAAGAAATTCTTGAAGTTACTTGAGCTTCTAGGCCATTATCAAGAGTCAGGATCTGTCATTATATTTGTGGATAAGCAGGAACATGCTGATGGTCTTCTTAAGGATTTAATGAGAGCATCTTATCCTTGCATGTCTCTTCATGGAGGCATTGATCAATATGACAGAGATAGCATCATAAATGACTTTAAGAATGGGACCTGCAAACTTGTGGCTACCTCTGTTGTTGCCCGAGGTCTAGATGTGAAACATTTGATTCTTGTAGTAAATTATAGCTGCCCCAACCATTATGAGGATTATGTACACAGAGCAGGGTGGACTGGAAGAGCAGGCAACAAGGGTTATGCTTATACTTTTATCACAGAAGATAAAGCTCGCTATGCTGGTGACATAATTAAAGCTCTTGAATTGTCAGGGACCACAGTACCCCCTGATTTAGAGAAACTGTGGCATGATTTCAAAGATCAACAGAAAGCTGAGGGGAAAATAATTAAAAAGAGTAGTGGGTTCTCTGGTAAGGGATTCAAGTTTGATGAAACAGAACAAGCTTTGGCTAATGAGAGGAAGAAGTTACAAAAAAGCAGCTCTTGGTCTGCAAGATTCAGATGATGAGGATGCTGCAGTTGACATTGATGAGCAAATTGAAGCATGTTTAATTCAAAGAAGAGAGTAGAGGATATGGCTGCTCCTGGAACATCAAGTATTCCTGCTCCAACTGCAGGAAATGCTGAGAAATTAGAAATTGCTAAGAGATTGGCTCTCAGAATCAACGCCCAGAAGAATTTGGGCATCGAGTCTCAGGTAGATGTGATGCAACAGGCCACCAATGCAATTCTTAGAGGTGGCACATTCTGGCTCCCACTGTTTCTGCAAACACCATTGCAGAACAACTTACCGAAAAGATCAATGTCAAGTTCAATTATGTGCCTTTAGAGAAACAAGAAGACAGACAGGATGGTGGACAGAACGAATCTTTTAAGAGATACGAAGAAGAATTAGAGATCAATGACTTCCCACAGACTGCTAGGTGGAAAGTTACCTCTAAGGAAGCTCTGCAGAGGATCAGTGAATACTCTGAAGCTGCATTTACAATCAGAGGAACATAATTCCCTCCTGGTAAAGAACCCAAGGAAGGCGAGTGGAGGATTTACTTGGCAATTGAAAGTGCCAATGAACTGGCTGTGCAGAAAGCAAAGGCAGAAATCACCAGGCTCATAAAAGAAGAGCTGATCCGGCTGCAAAATTCATACCAACCAACAAACAAAGGAAGATACAAAGTCTTATAGACATTGGAAAAAAGATTTTTACCTGTGCTGGTCTATGATAGATGTGGCAGTTGCAGTCTGCAGTTTACAATGTATTGTAAATTAAGATTTTTAAAATTCTGTCTTGCTGATTTTTTTTAAATACAAGAAACTAGTATTTGGTAAAGAAATCTGTCCATAAGTACCCTCACAATCAATCAGACTATATTTAAAGCTGGCCTGTTTTCAGACTATGATGTCCTTTAATGTAAACTTAAATATCAATATTTTAAATGTCTGGATAATATTCTAGAGGTTTAAAAAATGGAAATATTTGAACTTTCTATTTAAGACAATAAAGTACACAAGTCGTTAAGGGGCTATTCACTTTATCCTGTACTTTCAATGAAATTGTGATCATTTCCTATAAAATTCACTATCATATTTTGTGTCCCCACCTTGAGCTTAAATGTTACATGACTCTGTGGAACAATATGAACTGAATTTAAGAATGTTATAATAGAAGTCTTACAAAATAGGTTGAGAGTTTTTGTTTCAATTTTTATCATCATAAATGGGCAAAAAGTAGTTGGACTAATTTCGGTTTTTATACAAGTAAAGATTTAATAGTAAAAAAAAAAAAAAACAAAGGTCTCAAATTTCTAGATATTTTAGGTGTACATTCAGGTTTCCAAAAGATAACTGATGTGGTAACTTGAGAAACATGGAATAAAGAT